TTTCCTGATAGTTTTCTTATCCATCTTTCCAGCAATTAGAATAGGAAATAAAAGGAAAAGGAAAATACTCTAGATGACTGCATAGCTGTGAAGAAAGCTTTGGATTCTGGGACCACAAGCTACACTTCCTGGAAGACTGACTGCTGGCAAGGGATGGGTTGCACATCACAAGGACTGGAAAGACTGTATTTGGCCACAAAATGAAGGCCTTAATCAGGATGGCTTTAAAATGAATCCTATACAAGTGGGAAAATAAACTTGGGAGTAACGGTGGACAAAGATGTAAACACCACAATGGAGAGAGCAGTTCCAGTACTGCCCAATAATAGTCCTCAAATAAATGTAGGAAGAAAGGTAAACTATAAAGCACATGGTCTTCAGTATCTATATGATAATGTCCAGCATACAGGAAGCAAACAGCACACTATTAATAAAGGAGGACAAATACAACTTGATAAGGTAACTGAAATGTGGTGGATTTACTTCCATGACTGGATTCAGTAATTAAAAGATTTAACTTTTTCAAGAACAGAAGTAACAGAAAGGGAGAAAAGAATTGCACTATTTATTAAAGATGCATATCTCTGTACAGGAGGATGAGCTAAGTAGTCCCATAAAAAATCACCTACAGCAAAATAAAGGGACCAAAGAATAGAAGCAGCATGATGGCTGGAGCTTACTACTGACCAACTGGTAATGAAATAAAACATTTGAAAAGTAAATTGCCATTGTACTAATTTACTAATTGTACTAATAAGGGGGACTTCAATTTCCACAATACCTATTGAAGAAAATTCTGCCAAATATGGCCCCTCCATGAAATTCCTGACCTGATTGTTACTGATAATTTTCTCCAACAGTAAGTGAAAGAGGACAGGCTACCTTTGACTTTCTTCTAACCAACAGGGGTGACCTAGTGGACAAAGTGGCAGTCACAGGAATCCTGGAGGAAAGTGGCCAATTCGTTCTTTATTCTAAAGGAAGCAAAAGTCGTATATATATCTTAGAGTTTAGTAAAGCAAATATTAATAAATTTATAGCAAGGTCCCATGGCAAGTGACTTTAATGTGAAAAGAAATCCAAGATGGATCACAATTTTTAAAATGAAATTCTAAAAGCACAATTACAAACAATTCCAACAAGAAAAAAAGGATAGAAAACAGCAGAAGAAGCCAATGCAACTTCACAAAAATGCTTAGACATGACCTGAAAATGAAAGAAAGACATGAATAGGAAACAGAAGTAAAGCCATGAATAGGAAACAGAAGTAAAGCTTGCAAAAGAATGCAGGCTTCTTCTCAAACTGGAGATTGGTCATGAGTGTAGGACAAAAGTTTCAATCCTGGGTCCAGGGCTCTTCAATATTTTTATTAATGATTTGGAAGAGAAATGCATGGAATGATTGTCATATTTGCAGATGGCACAGATCTGGTGGAATAGCAAAAACCCTGGAAGACAGAAATAAAATTCAAAGCAATCTTGATAGGCTGGAACACTGGTCTGAAAGCAACAGAATGAACCTGGGAAAGAGAAATCAAGCTACAAGATCGTACTTAGTTCAATTGTATGGGTAAGAAGGATCTCACAATTGTTGTAATCACAAGCTGAACATCAATCAACAATGTGAGGTACCTGCAAACAGGCAAATGTTATTTCAGGCTGCATTAATAAAAGTATCCACTCAAATAAATACTAGTTCTCCTCTACCCAGCACTGGTTGAATGCTGCATCCAGTACTGGGCAACACTGTTTAAGAAAGATGCAGACAAACTGTATGAAGACTCTGAGGAAAGAAACACAATTGCTCAGAGGACTGGAGACAAAGCCCTGTGAGAAGAGACTGGAAAAAATTGTGATGCTTGGCCTTGAGAAGGTTGAGAGAAGGTATGATAGTACTTGAAAGAGGAGGGCCAGGATTATCCCAGAGTGCAGAACACAGAGTAATGGGCTCACATAATAGGAATCTGGGTTCCAGCTGAACATCAGGAAAAGCATCCTTGTTACAGGAATAGAACAACGGAAGCAGGTGGCTGAACTGAAAGGCCTACTTGGTTCTTTCCAATTCTATTATTCTATGATTCTGTAGACTGGTAGAGCTATTTTTCAGGATTTTCAGCACATTCCATTCTTAAGTTTCCATTCTAAACAGATATTTAATTAATCAATTTTTATAGCATCTCATAACTAAATATTAACTAAATATAACTATATGTTAATAGAAGCACAGGGCAGTATATGAAAGAGCAACAAATACAGATCTAAACACTTCAAATGACACTCTAGTAATACAGATAAAAACTGTTAGCAAACTTTATTGTGTTTTGGCAGTCCAACTCCTTTTACATTATAGAAATATCTATCAGTCATGACAGAGCTATCTTACTCCCAGACAAAGTCTCTGGTTTGACTTCCATGACTAGCCAACTGAAAGAACCATCTGCTTCCTTTCAGTTTTCCCAGTTGAGGCTTTATTACTCAGCCTAACACACTTTCAGATGGTGCTAATTATCCTGTGCTTGGATGACTGACATCCCAAGAGCCATCTTGCTTACAAACCCTCCCTGAGAGGGTATCTGTAACATTCACTTTGATATATTACAATTTCCATTGCTATATGAAGATATGATCTAGATGCAGAAAATGAAAACAAAATGTCATTTCAACTTGTCTTAAGGTATTCATATTTTTGGTCTATCTTTTCATAGTTGTGTTTCTACTATGTATTCAGTTCAGCGTATATTCACCAGGATTGGCATAAACAGACCAAAGGCCACCAAGCACAGATGTTTTGCAAACTGGAATGTTATTGGGTGCTTAAGTAAATGGAAGCCTGACATTGTATATTCAAGATAGTGACAGATTGCTTGGGAGTATAGCTGAGCCAATTTTTGGTGGGAAATATTGTCAGCACTGTGGGGAGGGAGACCGTGTTCTCCAAGATACCTCACAAAACTGTGATTTCCTACACCTGCTCCTGTTCACTGCTCCTCTTGCTGATGGCTTTGGTCTTTTTTTTTTGTAAAGACTGCTGCTGTTCTTGCTGAGTACTTGAGCTAGATAATCAAGGATCATGTACCCAGCATGATAGCATCATATCACCTTATTAGATAATCAGATATTGCTGTATATTGACATTATGACATCTTTATCCCATTTTGCAATATTCACTCAATATATCACTGGCACAAATAGCATGTTTCACAATATTGTGTGACTTTTTTCATGAAATATTCCCACTCTTTTATCTCAAACCAATTTGAGAGATCAGCCACACACACAAATGTGTGTACATGTACTATATTCCAACTTTTCAGACTATCGTTTATATCTTCAAAACATAAACTAATGGTTTTGAATTAGCTAATCAAATGGCTAAAGTGTTGACCATTACCTCAAGATTTAAAAGGGGAATGGAATTAACATTTGCTGTTGGACATTAGATTAATTTTGTATTGGTTATAACTGATTATACCAAATATAAATATGTTACATGTGAGAAAATGGAGAACAGAACACTATGTCTGTATGAACAAGAACTGCTGGGCTCAAGACTGCTATTCTGAAATTTCTCTAAATGGCATTGTTGACACTTTATACAGTGTTTTAATGACACATCTATGGTAATTCAGTGTGCAAATATCAAGGAAGAAATAAGAATTGTAATGCCAAAGAGGAAAATGCACCTCACCCTTCCTTTTTCATTGTTTCAAGTTTCCTAAAACTGCCCTAGTAAGAGTTCTTGCTTTTAAAAATGTTATGGAGTAGAAATTTGCTTATTTATTTTTTACGTTTTATTCTACACAGTCCTTAGCAACATTCATTGCTAACTATTGAACTGAAAAACATCTTTGAAAAATGGCCAAGTGCTTAGGAGAATTAATTAAACACACACACACACCCCTCTTTTAGAAATAATATTGTCTACCATGGCAGAAGTATCTTACTTACAGTGTATGAACAAGGGCATCAGCTAGGAAGCTTATGGAAAACTTACCTACTTTTGCCAATAAACTGCTAAGAAAAGCTGGTTTACAAGTTAAGAAGATCATGATGCCAGCATTAAAAATTAAAGCTAATAGTTTTATAGGCCAAGTGACTAGCTGGGCATCCTTATCCATCAGTGAATAGGATTATGTCTGCAAACATTCTCCTGAGATAGAATTAAATTGTCAAGTTTGCTTGCTAGCAGAATGGATGCACACTCAACATGTTCAGAGGAACATGGTTAGTGCATTACATGTTTTATATTTTAAAACAGAAACATCACTTTAATTTAAAGATAACTGAGCTAGGGTCAATTTAAGGATACCCAGACTCTCTCTTGTCTCTGTTCTGGTGGTTCTGCCCAGCAACCTGTTTTCTGAATCGAGACCACAGCTCTCCTCCATGTTTGTCTTCCATTCTCCAGCATTTCACATTCAGAGGAACATACATCTGACCATTCAGACTTAGTTTAGCTACCAAGGCAAATAGCTAATAATACATTTATCTTCTGTGAAGTTTTCTAATCCCTTTTACAGCCATCTAAGACAGTGACTATCACCATATCTCTCTATTCACATTTTCTCCATCATTTTAGCAGGAGTTACATACTATTGTTGCTACTGTAATTTCAATGGATGCCACATGCATTTCCTCATTTGTGTGAAAAGCCAATTTTGGTGCAGGCCAATAGACAACGATGGATCTATGACTCATAATCAACCTGTATTAGGCCTTGAGGGAAGACTATCCCAGAAACAAAATTATTCATTTTTTTAAACTAATATTTTTAGGTCAGAACAGGAAACATTCTGTCACTTCTAGTTTTTTTCTCCTTCTGTCCATTCAAAGAGAATATTATGTCTTTGTCAGTTATTACATTATTTTCTTTCAATATCTGTGAAAAAAGTTTGCTGCTGCATTACATGTATTGATATACTGCTGTATTCTTCCAGCAATTCAGCACTGAGGTCTGACAGAAGAGATATTTTACCAATACATGATTCTATATTTTGCAGAGAAATTGCAAAGTTTTATCACATGAAAATGCCTGAGACCAGCATTACACAATGTGAGTAGATTCACCCAAAAGAGGGGCATAGGTATGCAATAGTATGGAATCCTACCGAATGAACCAGAAAGAAAATCCGTGGTTAGGAAACCCATGATGAATGTGACAAAATATTTTTTGTATGTGTTGGATTGCTGAGTGCACTTATGTATCCCCTTTAGTACTGAACAGATCTAGCAACTGAGCATGTAGGCACAGCTACTCACTTGCACCACTATTAGGCATTAAATCATATGCTAGCCATTGGCCACACTGAGTACGTGCCAGGCATACTTAAGCTAAGCTGAAGGAGGAACTACGAGAAAGCAACCAGGCAACTAACTGCAGTCATTTGTGCTTTCAGCTGAATGGCAGTGCATTGCTACCACATACAAATGAGCCTCACTGGAACCCATTCATGAAAATATACGTGATTACCAGTGTGCCCCTACATAGGTAAGCTCAGAGTACCTCCTGTTACGTTTTATGAGGCTTTGTCCCTGGGAATGGACATTGGATTATAGCTGAAAACAAGACAGCATGCCCAGAACTCCAAACTGGGCAGCTCCAGCAGGCATTGGGTATAGGCACCCTGTATCAGCCGAGTGTGTTCTTTCCTAGCCTTCATTGGAGCAGCCTGGCTAGCTCCTCTTTTGGCAGTCTGCAGCTGCCCTGTATTAAATGGCTGGCTTTGACGGCAGGCATATAGGCATACTTAGCTTGGAGTTAACTGAATATGCATAGGATTGCTGTCCTAGAGTGCAAGAAGCCTACTATCTCATAAGTGAGGCCTACAACAAAATGTTAGTGTGAAGCATCCTGTCTACAGTAGTCACATCCATCACTGCCTCCAGGATACACCCTTCCACTTCCCCTCCAACCTGTTCCCCATGCTCTACAAATCGTAGTAATGATTCCATAAGAATGTGTGCAGTTCTGCCCAGGCTATTTTGGGGTTCCCCTTCTTTTTGTTCCTTCCTGCTGCACATGAGTAGTACTGTTTTGGCTCCATTAGTGTTGGCAATTAGTAAGTTCCATAAAGGACAGGATCAAACTTCAATAAAATGTTGCAATGTAGAGAGCTCAGGGCTCCATTCTCCCACCAACCATCCTTGTTAATCTGCTTTTGGGGTGTCCCACCTTAATAGATTGGTTCAAAAGTTCATAGTTTGGCAACCTTTGTGATATCTCCAAACCTGTTGATGCCACCCTCCTGAGTTAATGGTAGCACAAGGTTGAGAAATGTTTGATCTTAATTATTTCACTTGATTACTGGAAAGAAGGGGTTAAAAAAAGTTCTGAGCTTTCTTTTCTTTCATCCTCCCCCTCTTCCTCTCTTTCTCTTCCTTTTCCCTCTCCCTCCCTCTCTCTCTCTTTCCTGAATATTACAGAAAGTGCTTCAACATGGAAGACAGTACAATGCAAGCCTTTTTATTTAGAAAGGACATCCCCACTGATCTCTAAACCACAGTACTGCTTCTACTATAAAACATGTAAGAAATTTGCCCTGCTTCCAGGAAAGAAGCAGGGGGAAAAAAAGAAGAGGTCTTTGCAGAGGGGGAACAGTTTCACACGAACAGGTGACTGGAATCAATGCAGCACAAATTAAAATATTAAATCAAAATATCTGCTGCTTTATAAGACCAGAGTTAAGGGAGGCACAGATCAGTCTAAATTACAAAAAGTCAGGAAATTAGAATCTCAAGTAGCCTCAATTAGAATCTTAACTGGTGTGGTCAATAACAATGTTGTGCAATGTCACAAACTGTGCTTACTAAGAGCATAGCCTCAATTCATCTACACTCTTCCTTGTTCCTCCAGGAACAAATCTTGATGGGAAGGCAGGATTGTCTGCAGCCAGCAAGGATGGTCTACATTTTCCTAGTCTTGTATTGCCTTGGGAAGCATCTGGAGACTATTACACTATTAGAAAGATCCAAGCAAATGTCCAAACTGCTTGGGGGAGTGATTGAGAGAAGGACATCACAGATACTGTTCTTCTTTCCTGGTCTCTCCAGGTTCCAGTCATGACCGAGATGCTTCGTTTCTTAATGTGCTAAATAGTTGTGACCTGGAAGAGGTCAGTCACAGAATTGATGAGAGGAAAGGCACTTCTGGATTTAATCCTAAGCACTATTGCCCAGGAACTAGTATGAGATGTGAGCATTGTCAAACCAGTTGAAAACCGCAGTGCTATTAGACTTAACATATATTTAAAGGAAAATTGTCAATGAAGTCCAACACAGTCACATTTCAGTTCAAAAAGGGAAATTATCTAAAATGAGGAAAGTGGTTACAAAGGGGGAAATGAAAAGAGGGCATCAAGAAGGTTAGATCAAAGTTTAGAGGGTTCTCAGAACCTCACCTGCAAAGTATACCAAGGTTCATAAAGGTGGTACCAAGCTCAGGAGACTGCAGGAATGACTGATCAGCAGTTCTGAGAAACCTATTTGAGCCAGGGGGATTCCTTCAAAGAAGTGAATGCTTGCCCAGATGAGAAAAATAGAGAGAATACACTTGCAAAAAGGAAATGGTAGCAGAAACTAAGAGACTGGGTAGGAGGATTTTGAGGAGCATATCATGGACAAGATCAAGAACAAGAGGCAATCTTCAAATATATCAGAAGCAGCAACCCAGCTAGGGAGTCAGCTAAACTAATGGATGGCAGCAGAGTTAGGAAAAGAGTGGGAAAAGAGGTTACGGCAATTGTGGAGAAGCTGAATGAATTCTTTTTATCTCTGCTCGGTAAAGAATATATGGGACAGACACCTGGGCCTAAACAGATATTTTCAGGAAGGGAGTTTGAAGAACTGAGGCCAATATTGGCATTCTCAAAAATGGAGTTATCAACCTTATCAAAGAACTGAAAGTTAATATGACATTTCACCCGAACAGTACCAACCCTTGTTACACAATGCAAATTCAAAATGACTTGTTTTCTAAGAAGAATATATAGCATACTCACTGCACTAAAAGACTGGAGAATGACCACTGTAACACCAGTTTTTAAACTGGGATCTAGGGATGAGCCAGAAAAATTGCAAATTAGTTAACTTGAAATCTTTTCTGGGTAAATTGGTCAAATGCATTATTGAAACCAGCATTGGTAGTCATATATGTTATAGAAGGATCACATGGATTCTCCTAAGTATGTAAGTCATGGCCTCACAAACCTTTTAGAGTTCTTTGAAAGCATCATTAAATCATGTGGACAAGATGCTCTGGTAGACATTGTTAACTTGGCTTCCTCTCTTCTCTTCTCTTCTCTTCTCTTCTCTTCTCTTCTCTTCTCTTCTCTTCCTTTCCAAAATCCTCATCAAAGGGAGTTTCTGGAGCAAACAGTCATGGAATAAGAAGAGAAACCCTCTTATGAATCAACAACTGATTAAAGAACAGAAAGCAGAAAGCTGGGATAAATGATACATTTTCCCAATGGAGAGGTGTAAATCACGGAGTATCACAGGGATCTGCACTGGGACAAATGCTTTTCCAGTTTATCATAAATTATTGGACATTAGAAGGGTACAGTGAGCTGGCCAATTTGATGACATCAAATTATTAAGGTGGTTAAACAAAAAGGAACTACAATGAAAGAACTGCAAATTGTGATGAAGACTAGAACATGGCACTACTGTTAACGTTAAACTTTAAATAAATAAACAAAGTAAACTATCAGAGCCATGTTCCACAAACTGCCTATCCCTGCTTCTGATACCATATCTTTCTCTACTCATTATTATGCCAAGTGGAGTTCCCACAGATTTCCCAACTTGGCCCATGACTCCCTCCAAGTCACATATTTAGACCCTCAGAAGGAAAGAAATAGTCCCCAGAGCTACCACTAAGGAGTATGAACAAATCAATAAGCAAGGTGCTAAAGAAGTGTCCCATGACCTTGCATCCCCCTGTGAAGCAACTGCGCCAAGGTAGCAAATTCTTCTGGCAGTGGCACCATCAGGGCACCACAATCCCATGGGGAGGGGATCTCCAGATAAGAGCCCTCTGGAGACTCCACTGCCTTAAATTAGCAATCAACCCAGGAGAGTTTCTTCTTTTTTTCTACTCTGCTACTGCTGCCATGGTGTTCCTAGGTGCAGAAAAAGCCTGAGCAAGCAATCAAGCAGCAAAGATGGGATGTATACCTCACTGCCAGTATTAGTGTTCCGGCTTAAAGGAAATCTGAAAGTTTTCTTTGTTTACTGTACACATTGAAATAATTAAATAATCTCCTATTTTAGTAATCCCAGACAATTTTAAAGATCACATTTTTTTAGCATTTAGCCACAACATTTCAGATTTAACATAATGCATTAAGCAATGGCCTTAAAGTTATTTGGGAGAACCAAAGTGATTGCATTTTTATTACTTGTCTGGCTGATAGAGTAACTTGTTAAAGTATTTGGTGGGAATACAACATAGATTACAATTTATGTGTTTTTAAAACATTATAATTACAAGCAGGAGTAACATTATTGATATAGTTTGGGAGTACTATGTGTTAGAATTAGAAGATCTAAACGCAAGCTTGGATAGCCAGAATCCTCTCTGTCTCTGTCTGTCTGTCTGTCTGTCTCTCTCTCTCTCTCTGTCCCCCTCCACTTCCCTGCCTTCCCCTTCCTCTTTCTTTCTCCTTTCTTGTGGTAGAAAGATAGTGGAAGGATGAAACACAGCAGAATATGATCTGCAGAGTGCTAGAGCTGTCCATTGTCCCTTTCAAAATAGATTTGGGTCTTGGCAGTCATGGGTGACAGCACACATGGGTAACTCCAAGCAAAAGGAAAATGTAGGAATCTTTCACCAGTAAGAAAGAGTTGGTTTCTTTGTCTGCTACTTCCCTCTCAATCAGCAGCAATGGTACACCTGGCTCCTTGCCATAAAATTGTGCTACAGACAACTTGTGCTTGCACAACTGACCCATCCTTGCACACTGTGTACATAGGTCATACTTCTGAGTGAGTTACTTGCCCCACATATTGTGCCCGGCCCATATAAAGGGTTGGGGTTTGAGGGGCTGCTTCCACCCAAACTGCTAGTATTGTATAAAAACACAAATTAAACATTCTGTCTGTTACTAATAGCATGGGAAATGTTTGTTTTGTATTGCCTTATAGGTCTAGAATTACATTTAAATTGTTGGAGTTTGCCATAACTTTCTCTCTGATCAGACAGATAACTTCAAGAATAACAGAAATGTGCCCTGATATATTCTTGACCAGGAAGCCATCTTGATTTTAAGAGACCTTTGCCATGTTCTCCCATGTATTCACAGTATCCTGCTGCATGGAAAACTGTATGCAACTGCTTTGTGGGACAACACTCAGTTATTTTCAAGTCAGTACAAGCTTAATCTGGCTGGCACACATACTACACAATACGTTTTATCTGTCAATGTGAATAAGAGTGTAATGATGCTTCTCAGAGCTAATCAAGGTTTTGCCCAAACTACAGATACATTGGTATGAATGGTTTTGGCAGATCTGTCATTCTTAGTTTCATCAAGAATTTTGAACCCATCAAGCTGGTTCTGTCCAGGCTCTACATGATTTTGTTCTCAATGGAAACATATTTACACATTTTGTGTCTAACTGCACCTATCTCTGCGTGCCTTGGTAAATGTGCATATATTTGCATATGTAAACCTATTGGCTAAAAGGCGTTTGTACACATTTTAATTATGCATGCTGTTTTCTTCATGCATTTTTCAAACATGTGCATAGTAGTTGATCCTTTCTGTGTGTTGACAGCATCATGAGTTTATAAATGTATGGATTTACAGCTGCAAATTGCACTTAAGTCCAAGATCGGTTCCAGAAGGTGTGATGACTGAAATAAATTCACTTTTTAAAAACGGAAAAGAAAAACCTCAGAGGAATTTTTTTCAAACATCTATAGATAAAAGGATATAGTTTGCTAGAGGAAACTTTTTAACACAAGAAGAAAGGCTTAATATTTAAAAAAAACAAGTGCAAATTCCATGCTACATAATACTGTTAAACTAATGCTTGTTACTTTGCTCCTTATAATTTTAGAATTTAAAATATATTACGGGGATCACAATTCTGGCCTACATTATTATTGCCACAGGGATTTGCAGCTTCACAGTAAATTTGCTGCCAACTTCCCACTAATAATATAATTATGATCATTATTTAGTGAACGTTCACAAGTAGTAACTTATACAGTGAAGACAATACTGCATCTAAGTGTGTATCAAGAGGGCTACATACTGCTATTGCCAGTGCTCATATCTTGCAGAAATGTATTTCTTGCATCCAATTAATTGCTAATTGTTTCATGGTGTCATCTAATTCACTCAGCAAGAGCATAGCCCTTTCAGCTATTCCCTTGATGCTTGTAGACATCTGAACTCAGAGGTTTGCAAGCATCAGTGCAGAGCAGTAGGAGAAGCAGAGGCGATCCCAGCCTCCCCTCTCCTGTTACTCAGAAGTTGGCTACCTGGCTTATTTTTGTCATTTAGCAGTGGCCCGTCAGAAGGGGAGACTGCAGCACTTCTAGTTTGCCTTGTATCCTGACAGCCCCAGTCTGCTCCCTCCCTCTTTACACCCTTTCC